ACACACACACACACACACACACACACACACTCCAACCTCTGGTCAAGCTTTACTCATTACTTACAATGCTCTTCGTCCGAAGGGAAAAGTGAAGATGCAATATTTTTATTACTGATTACTTGTATAAAAAAGACTGAGATTATGATACTGATCGTGTGGTCACATCCCGAGCCGTTCGCGCGGGGTTTTGCATGCAAGATATATGCAATTGACAACTCCATATGCATTACCAGTCGTGGATTACCAAGTACTGTCACTGAGAGGACCATGACAGCGGGACCTTGTCATTGCCTTGTCATTCTTACTCCAGCAAGGTGTCGCTCTATGGTTCTCTGTTGCACTGTGATCATTTCTACTTTATTAAGTTTTTTATTTGTATTTTTTATAAGCTTATCAGCCAAATAAGAGATTTAGGCCTGTAGTTCATGTAAGGTTATTTTATCAGAATCAAAATTTTAATCTAATCAAATGTTTGTTATATTATTTATATGCCTGTTTCTGTTTTTATACACCGGGTGAAATATATTATGAATGATGTTTTTTTTGGTGTTTCATTAACCTTCCTTGTATTTTGGTGATGATTCATAAGAGAAAAGACGGGACGAATAAAAGATTTATTTAATCAATCACTTTATAAATTACATAATTAACATAGATCATTTGCTACAATAACTTTAACATTCATGGCATTGGGAAAAAAATGAAAATGTCACATACAATTATTTTTAAACAAATAATTTTAGTCACTTAACCCCCTGGACCCGCTGCGCTTCCCGCCCTTTTTCTTGTCCATCCAACGCGCGAACCTTCCCGCCCCCCCCCCTCTCCCTCTCTCTCTCTTATTATCCCTCTCTTTCTACCTCTCTCTTATTATCCCTCTCTCTCTACCTCTCTCTTTCTTATTATCCCTTTCTCTCTACCTCTTATTATCCCTCTCTCTCTCTCTACCTCTTGTTACCCCTACCTCTCTCTCTTATTATCCCTCTCTCTCTCTCTACCTCTTGCTACCCCTACCTCTCTCTCTTATTCTCCCTCTCCCTCTCTCTCTCTACCTCTTGTTACCCCTACCTCTCTCTCTTATTCTCCCTCTCCCTCTCTCTCTCTCCACTCTNGAACCTTCCCCCCCCCCCTCTCCTTCTTCTCTCTCTTATTATCCTCTCTTTCTACCTCTCTTCTTATCCCTCTCTCTCTACCTCTCTTTCTTATTATCCCTTTCTCTCTCTACCTCTTATTATCACTCTCTCTCTCTACCTTCTTATTATCCCTCTCTCTCTTACCTCTTATTATCCTCTCTCTCTCTCTACCTCTATCCCTCTCTCTCTCTACCTCTTATTATCCCTCTCTCTCTCTACCTCTTATTATCCCTCTCTCTCTCTACCTCTTATTTATCCTCTCTCTCTCTACCTCTTCTTATCCTCTCTCTCTACCTCTTATTATCCCTCTCTCTCTCTACCTCTTATTATCCTCTCTCTCTCTACCTCTTATTTATCCCTCTCTCTCTCTACCTCTTATTATCCCTCTCTCTCTCTACCTCTTGTTACCCCTACCTCTCTCTCTTATTCTCCCTCTCCCTCTCTACCTCTTATTATCCCTCTCTCTCTCTACCTCTTATTATCCCTCTCTCTCTCTACCTCTTATTATCCCTCTCTCTCTCTACCTCTTGTTACCCCTCTCTCTCTCTACCTCTTGCTACCCCTACCTCTCTCTCTTATTCTCCCTTTTCCTTCTCTCTCTCCACTCTCATCACTCGTCCCCTTTAACCCTTCTTCTTCTCGTCGAGCGCTCTCCGCACCTTCGCGACCCACTGCTTGTAGTACGCCATGTTCTTCCGGAAGTGGTACATGAGGAACCAGTCGCCGTAGTTGCCTTCGGGGAGGACGTGGACGAGGTGGCTCTTGGTCGTCTGGTCCCGCGTCAGGTACACCAGGTAGGTATTGCGCACGTTGGGGCTGAGGGAAGGAAGGAGGTGGTGTTCAGAGGGCGGTTTTGTTCAGATTGCGCGAGGCCCGACCCAGTGCGTGTTAAACTGTACGAGGTGAATCTGTTTACCTATTGATGGATATACATTTATCTGTTTACCTATCTGATGAATGTTTACCTATCTATATGAATCTGTTTACCTATCTGATGGATATACATTTATCTGTTTACCTATCTGATGAATGTTTACCTATCTATATGAATCTGTTTACCTATCTGATGGATATACATTTATCTGTTTACCTATCTGATGAATGTTTACCTATCTATATGAATCTGTTTACCTATCTGATGGATATACATTTATCTGTTTGTGAATCTGTTTACCTATCTGATGGATATACATTTATCTGTTTACCTATCTGATGAATGTTTACCTATCTATATGAATCTGTTTACCTATCTGATGGATATACATTTATCTGTTTACCTATCTGATGAATGTTTACTATCTGTATGAATCTGTTTACCTATCTGATGGATATACATTTATCTGTTTACCTATCTGATGAATGTTTACCTATCTGTATGAATCTGTTTACCTATCTGATGAATGTTTACCTATCTATATGAATCTGTTTACCTATCTGATGGATATACATTTATCTGTTTACCTATCTGATGAATGTTTACCTATCTATATGAATCTGTTTACCTATCTGATGAATGTTTACCTATCTATATGAATCTGTTTACCTCTCTGATGGATATACATTTATCTGTTTACCTATCTGATGAATGTTTACCTATCTATATGAATCTGTTTACCTATCTGATGAATGTTTACCTATCTATATGAATCTGTTTACCTATCTGATGGATATACATTTATCTGTTTACCTACCTGATGAATGTTTACCTATCTATATGAATTCTGTTTACCTATCTGATGGATATACATTTATCTGTTTACCTATCTGATGAATGTTTACCTATCTATATGAATCTGTTTACCTATCTGATGGATATACATTTATCTGTTTGTGAGTCTGTTTACCTATCTGATGGATATACATTTATCTGTTTACCTATCTGATGAATGTTTACCTATCTTTATGAATCTGTTTACCTATCTGATGGATATACATTTATCTGTTTGTGAATCTGTTTACCTATCTGATGGATATACATTTATCTGTTTACCCATCTGATGAATGTTTACCTATCTATATGAATCTGTTTACCTATCTGATGGATATACATTTATCTGTTTACCTATCTGATGAATGTTTACCTATCTATATGAATCTGTTTACCTATCTGATGGATATACATTTATCTGTTTACCCATCTGATGAATGTTTACCTATCTATATGAATCTGTTTACCTATCTGATGGATATACATTTATCTGTTTGTGAATCTGTTTACCTATCTGATGGATATACATTTATCTGTTTGTGAATCTGTTTACCTATCTGATGGATATACATTTATCTGTTTGTGAATCTGTTTACCTATCTGATGGATATACATTTATCTGTTTGTGAATCTGTTTACCTATCTGATGGATATACATTTATCTGTTTGTGAATCTGTTTACCTATCTGATGGATATACATTTATCTGTTTGTGAATCTGTTTACCTATCTGATGGATATACATTTATCTATCTATCTATCTATCTATCTAGGTTAAACTTGTCTAGACTGATAGATGTGCATTTATTTCTGTATATATGTATGTTCATATAATGACTATTCATCGGGTCGGGCCTCAATAAATAAAAAAAATCCGTGGTAGAGGGAAAGGCGGCGAAGATAGTGGATGAGAAAATGGCGGTTTGTTTTGAGTTACGTATTAAGAGGATTACATTCTTAAGGGCTGAAGGAACACGTTAGAGGGAGAGGCAGGAGGGAGAGGAGAGAAAAGAGAGAAAGAAAGAAGGAAAGGAGGAAAGGAGAGACCAAATTAGAGCTAAAGCGAGAAGAAAGTTTCAGCCTTAGAGAAGAGAGTAGATGGCTTCGGATTTTCGCATAATTGAAGGCATCGAATGAGAAGTGGAATATTTGGAGAAATACAGGAGAAGAAAGTGAATAAAGAGAAGGGATGAAGGGAATAGATAAGAAAATGTTTCTGCTTTGATTGGGTTTCGTAAGATCAGATTATTATATCAAACGAATCGAAAGAGATTAAGATGTATGAAAAATCAGAAGAAAAAAATGTGAGTAAAAGTATACTGAATAATGGAGAGGTTTCGCAAAATTTTGGTTGAATTATTTGCTGTTATAATTACTAACGAACTGAAAGAGGTTACTCGCGTTTTATCCCATTTCTCCAACTGACGAAAAATAACTTTCACAAAAAAAAAATAAATAAATAGTCTAAACAAGATTCAACAGGGACACGCAGAGAGCTTAGTGAAAGCGGAAACCCCACCAAGTTCAGTCACCCACGCCGACTGACCAGAACTTTGAAAACAACGAGATAAGGAAGCACTCACACGAAGAAGAGGATGAGGTGGAAGAGGAGGACCACCCCGCACACGGTAGCGGTCAACACGTACATCATCCACAAGAAGATGTACGTCTTTTCATTGACGATGTTGAGCGGGAGTACGCACATGGAGTCGAATTTCTGAATGGAACCCGAGGCGCCGTATTTGTACCACGTGCACTTGGCCACCTGTGTTGCAGATATCATCATTAGGGAGGCATTTCGGAGATAATTTTCTATCTCCAGAAACGGAATTGGTCGCAGCGGAGGAACTGCTGAGGCTGATAATTATGGGGTTTGCATGTTGAAGGTATTATCATTAAGAAGGTATTTCGGAGCTGCAATTATGTGAGTTACGTTTGTAGATACTATAAGTAACTAAAGAACTGTTAATATATTTGTCATTATTGCAATCATATCATTAGCCTATTGCACCTACACAACCCCACTCAATATCTACATAACCTCATTCATCATCCTCGCAAACAAGGAACCTGTTTTAGAACGAAAATGTCCCTTAGAATGAAAAAAACAATAGAACAAAAACACCTCCTTTAAAGTTTAAAAAGAATCCTTTAAAATTAAACACCATTAGAATGAAAAAATAATAATCATTTAGTATGAAAAAATAATCCTTTAGAACCCAAAGCACCTCTAGAATTAAAAAAAAAAACTTTTATAACAAAAAAAAAAACACCTCTCAAATTTTTAAAAAATGAATAAAAACCTTTCGAACAAAACAAAACAAAAACTCCTTTGGGCGACAAAGACCCTCGCTGCCCCTCACTCACCTTGGGGAAGATCTCGTTGAGAGGGTTTTCGGGGTCGGCGGCGTGCTGGCTCAGGTACTTGATGGAGCTGGGGCCGAAGCTGAAGAAGTTGCCGCCGAGGAAGGCGTTGGTGAAGAACAGGTTGGACACGGCGATCACGAAGCCCAGGCACTCGCACAGCAGGAAGTAGAAGGCGTAGGAGCGTGGGTTTGTGGCTGTTGGTG